GGCAATTCGCGGTGGCCGGCGCGTTAATCCGTTCCGGGCTGGGGGGCGGTTAGACAGGGTCGTGACAGGGATGATTGCTGTAGTTGCAGGGTACCTAGTATGCTATGGGCTTTTAGGGTCATGTTATGTACTTGCTAACACATCTTAGCATTAAGATGAATTGTTGTCAGTGTTGATCGCGTTGCACTTCTCGCGTCGAGGAGAGTGCCAGGGGCCTCTTAACGCGTCTGCGAATCGCGCTGAATCCACCCCTTGGTCATGATTCGCACATCGCGTCTCTCTGTTCGACCGAATCGATCGATTTTCGATCGAACGGGTGGGGGCGATCGATTCGATGTCGAATCATATGGTGACCTGTACGGTTCGAATGTCGAATAGGATGCCCCACATTCGAATCGATGTATTCGAACATCGAACAGGACATGTCACATTCGATTCGATGCGAATCGAATGGGCACGCCGCAGATTCGACATCGAATCGAATGCCAAGAAATTCGATTCGACATTCGTAAGACTTGGCATCGAATGAATCTATCGATTCGATTCCCGTTCGTTCGATGTCCATCCCTGATCTTAGGGTCAGAGACGCGGCATTAGAGGAGGTGGAAGAATGGGTTACTAGGATGAGGGAGGAGAAGAAGAAGGCGAGGAGGGCAGATTCTAAGGATAAAGATCGACAGTCCTAAGACGTCTTGGCCGACCTGGCAATATTGCTCTGCATTTCGAGATTCAAGATTGACATGATTGCAATGAACTATCTGGATTTCTTTCTAAGCTGATTCCACTAAAGTATCTTTCCAAAGAGTTGTTAGTCTTATTTGGCTATCAGACAACTCTCCCCTCACACTCCTAGCACCATTCATAAGCCCGTCAAAACCAGAAGGGTGTTGTTCACGTTGTCAATTTGCTTGCAATGTCCAACACCGGTGGATGCGGAAGGAGTGATGCCTTTCAGACACTGTCTTCGTCTTCGTAGTCTTCGAAGAGGCTATCTTCGAGGAGGGACCCCTTCCTCTGGCACTACGTCCTGCTGACCTCCGCCCTCGGTGATTAGTGAGCTCAGGTAGGCTCCAACAATCGTGACAAGGCCACTGAACCACCATGCCAAGCCTGAATACCCAGTCTGCAGTCCGAGTGAGTACAGGAAGCCGGATACAATCGGGCCCAATGCTCTGCCCAAGCTCGCCATCGATGCCGCGATGCCATTGATGGTTCCGAGGACTTGCTTCGTCGGGGCCGAGTTCGCCAGGAGAATGGCATTGCTAGGGTAAGCCATGGCCGATAAAGTGCATTTCCAGATGACCAGCAGGTAGATGGCTGCCATTCTCATGTCCTCTGGAAGCAGAACGAGGTACGGAGTGACCAGGTATAGCGCAGAGTAAGAGAAGGTCAGAATCTGGAAAAGACGCAGGGAGCCCAAGCGTCGTATCACGGGCGGGACAATCAAGTAGTTACAGAACAGAGAGTAGACAGCTTGAGCAGACATTATGACACCAATCATCTTCATCTCGAGGCCGAATCCATCGGTGAACTTAAAGGGTAGTTCCAAGATCGGATGCTTAGGTGGGGATGTGCTCAGAAACACTGGGAAGAGCTGATCAAAGGACATTGTGTGACTAGAAGAGGGCATCAGCAACAGCAAGTGAGCCAAGAAAGAGGGCTGCCATTTACAAGGTCAGGATACCGTATGAGGTGATGTTCATAATGACCGGCTTGGTGAAAATCTTCATCTTCGTCTTGGCAATCGGCTCTTGGCCCAGCGGTGCAATGACCATGGGGAACTCTGTATCAGCCCGAGGAGCCAGCTTGGGCGAGCTCTCCTGGATTTGGTAGGCCCGCAGGATTTCGTTCACCTCGGACCTGACACTGGTCTCTCGGGATCCTGCAGCCGTGAGATACCCAGGAGGTTGTTCGCCGTCGAAAAGACCTTGGTTCTCGGAGTTTCGTCCTCGCCCACAGCAGCTTACGACGCCGCGGGCCGTGTTAGTCAGATAATCGCCTACCTCACGTCCGCGATCCCTTTTAGTCTTCTTCGTCGCATGCGTTTCCTCAAAGAATAGAAGGCCAATTATGACTCCAATGAAGACTATGGTTGCGCTGAAAAGATTGGGAAGGAGGTAGGGAAATCGGTCCCAGATGGTTCCGCGAGCGAAGATGCCAGGATAACTCACACAGGGTCTCGCGAGCGAACCCCCAATTATCGGGCCAATGATAGATCTAGATACGCCTGTCAGGGCATTGACTGATGCCTCCTTTAATAGCCGAGGAAGTCTTACCCGATACACCATACCATGGGCATGACAGTGTAAGCGCGTGCTGCGTCGGGTCAGCGGCGGATGTTACCTCAGAGCTCAGATTCAGCTCACGTTGCTGCTCCTTGACAGTCACTAGTTCAGCGACGGTTGTCTGCAAAACCCCGATATTTCTGCATGTTCATCAGTCCCTTGTTCCAAACTCCCGAGTCTCCCGCCAACTACTTGCCATACCCATTCAGAACACCACCGAGAGCGCGGGCAAATAGGGCTACTGGTAGATTCGGCGCGGAGCCAAAAATGAGAACGCTCAAGGCAGTTCCAGCCAGGCCAGCCAGTAACACGGGTTTGCGTCCTATCTTGTCGCTCAGTCTACCCCACATGACACCGGTTGCAAATTCGGCCAAGGTGAATGCTGAAGTGACCATGCCGGCGTAGACCGAAATTTTGCTAGCGTCATCGGTGATGTGGAAATCATCGATCATGTAGTAGATGTAAGGGAAAATTGACATGAATGCGATTGGCTCACATATCCGGCAGCAAGCTGTCCTAGTCAGTATGGGAGAGTTCATGTGGTGGCTGGGCCAGCTTCCATACCTAGCACAAGCATCTGCTTAGCCGGGAACGGGGGGGATCTCTGGCCATCTTTACTAGCACCGCCGCTGTCGGTCGCCGGAAGTTGGCTGTTCCTCCTCATGTTGAATTTTCTCGCGAAGCCGCTTGAACCCAAACTTCCACCGCCGTCCACAAACACACTCAGCGCAGTACAGTCCGGCTCGAGATCTTCAAGACTAAGCGTGGAGCCCTTATGGAACAATTGCCTCCAAAAGACGAAAAGTCAGGAAACCTCGTGTGACGAGATGGCCGGGGAGGGTAGTCAGTCGGAACGGATTCCCAAGCAGATTAACCTTCCCTGGGAGGAGGCCAAGCTCGGATGTCTAGGTTGTAGGCGGCCGACAAAAGCAAGCAAGGCACTAATGGCAAGAGAAGAACGAAGACCGGGAGTGGATACACATATGAGAGGCGGCAGAGACACGCCCGACACGGGCCCCAACACAGGCCCGGCTGGCGTAAATGACATCACGGCCATGTTGGTGCAACTAAAACCTGATTGGAACGGGCAGTGACATCATCCAAAGCAATGACAAGAGACGTGATCTACCACCACAAAGCGATGCGACGAATGACTCCCAACTCTCGGACCGGGTGGCAGTGAGGCCCGGTTGCGCCAGCCAGGGAGAAAGATCCCGGTTGACAGGGCGGGCTTGCCAAGGCTGTGGCCCTGTGTATAGAGAAACCTCGAGACGCCCGGGTTGCTTCCGCGAGGTTTATGAGCCCCACATACCAGCGGGGGAGTTGGGTCAAGTTCCCCGACAACTCGACGAGGGTACGATGAGGTGTCGAGCCAATGGGTAGGGACTTACGCCTGGTTCGAACCTAATTATTAGGCTCACCGGGTCTTGGTAGTCCCCCAACAGTTCAATCGCATAGCTGTTTGATCCCAGTTCTGTAATGTTGACTAACCTTGATTTGGAATGTGGGTTGACCCCTTTTTGAGTAAGGTGCAAAGACCAGGGTTACATTGCACGGGGGACCTGATGGGCCCCAACGCCTGAGCAAAGAGTAAGATCGGCCTAATAATAACTGAAGGACTCGGTTCGAAGGTGCCGCAACCCACAACCCGCTCGGGTAGTGGGCAACTCGCTTTGCCAGGTAGCCCACATGACCGATTCATGGAATTCGACTCGTCCTGTCGGGGTTGTGGGGAGGGGAAACCACGCTAAGCACAAGTCAAATAGTGATCATCCACAGCTGAATAGCAAATTTCTTATCAGAGTTAGTTGACACTTTGGTCAGCCTAAGGCGGGCTGTGTGGAATTGGTCCGATGGCTGCGCGTGCGATTCTATCCTATGAGAGCGAAGAAGAGGCATTGGCGGGCTCTCACCCTTGGGATTAGCATGGTCAGATTAAAAAGGACCTTGAGGATGTCTCGAGAGATTGATATCCACAGCCAGCGCCTGCGGGACTACCTACACAGATTTGAGTGGGCGATCGACTTCGTATGTCGAAAGTCCTGCGCAGATTTGTGCTTAGGCAAAAATCCGCGTGTGAGGTTTTGCTTGGGCGCATCCTCAGTATGCAGATCGCACGCACACATGCTTACGATGGCCTGGGATTGTACGGAGGGCCCTTTCAAAAGTCTTTTCCAAGCGCTAGTTTGAAAAGGGAAATCCGACGACTGTGGCTTGGTTAAGTACATCAAGTACTTTCTATGGTGCCTTATCCGCTAAAGGCTGCTAATTTTACAGCAGCCTATCCTCACTGTATTACATTCTAATCCCCCTAGCACCCCTAAAACTATAGTGGATGTAGCAGCTAACTCATTGTGGCTGGATTCTACACCTTGTATCTTAGGTAACTAACAAGGATTGAGAGATGTGGCGCATTTAGCGCTTGGAAAAGACTTTTGAAAGGGCCCTCCGTAGTGGTCTATTAAACCATATCAAACCCCAAAGTGAACATAAGGGACCCAGAGCGGCCGCGGCGGCTCCGACCCGTGTTTCAATTTAGCGTCCCTTTCCGGTCCAGACAGCGATGACTTTCCGCGCCCGGCATCCTCGCCGTCCACCCACCGGTCTCGCACCGTCCTTATCGCCCGGTGAAGCCCCCGGCTCACGCAGTCATCCCTTATCCCCTCATCCTCCAGAAACTCGTATGTCATTCTCGCCATGTCCACACATAACCTGTCATCGACGCTCCAAAGCGTGCCCACCACGTGACGGAACCCCGCCAGCTGGCAAGCATTGGCAAGATGGATGCTTTCGTCAACAGACCCGTCAGGATCTGACCAGTTCCACATGCCGAGAGGTAGGCGAGGAATGGCGGCTTCGAGGTAAGTTTGGTCTCCAGGAGACTCGCCACCGTGAATGGCTCCCGATCCCAGTCATCGAGGAGCAGCTGGCTCTGCAGCGGTTCTGTGGGATGCGTGCTGCCGTGGCCGGCAAAGTGGAACATCCTGCAGGCCTCCAAGGCCGACGCCACGTCGGCCTTGTGCGGTCGTGGCCGGTCGTGCGGCAATCCCATCGACTCGCACACAGCCACTACAGCATTAACCTCGTCGCTCGCATATTTGAGCGGTTCCTGTTTTGGCGTGTTCTGCATGGCAACGACAACGGCATTTCGGGACTCTTTGGCTGCCGGCGCTTGCTGTGGCCGTCGCCGACTATGTATGATCGCCTTGACGGACGAGGCGTAGGATAAGACGACCTGATCGACCGCCGTCTCGCCGGTGCGCCTCAGATGGTGTCCCGCCGCATAGAGTGGAAACCGGGTCAGTGTGCCAGTGGGGACCCACCACAGGTGCGGCCACTGACTGTCCGACGGCGGCCCAGTAAAGCCTAGAGCATTAAGAACAGGACAGACGATGTCATCCCAGAGCCATCCAAACGTATCGAGAGTTTTGAGTTCCCGGACATGGTCGTTAATGGCGTCTCGGGAGAGGCGTGGCAGCTCCAGCAGTCGGATGCCGGACTGCTCAATGACCAAGGCATCGCAGCGATACGAGCTCACATTTAGGACGACAATCGGGCCGGGCCGTGCAGCCTCCAGAATATCGGCTTCCGATGCGGAGGGCAGGAATCGCTCAAAACCGGACTTGGAACGGATTGTCTCAAGAAGACGGGCAAGCTGGGGTCCAGCATCGCGGTGCCGATCGCCTTCCGTCTCTGCGGCCGCAGTGGGGCGCTCAGCTGTAGCGAGGGAGTCCACCAGCGGCGGCACGTCTAGTTGATCTCGCAGGTCGATAAAGGAACGCGCCAGGTCGGGATGCGCGCGTTCGAGAGCGGCAATGTCGGATTGCTCGAAGAGAGCTCCGGCGATGACACCACGACCAGTCTCAAGCAGTTCGATAGCAGCAGCAGGGCCTCTGTTGGCATGAAGGGCAATGGCTGCGGCGTCCGACGACAGTCCGACAGCGGCGGAGAGGAGGTGCCGCTTGTCCGAGTTCTGCAGAGAACGAGGCGTCAATAAGGGAATCAAGTCGATTGTTGTTTGGCAATGGCGTATGCTTGTCGATCTCGAAGTATGGATGGGGATGACAGAAGTTGACGGCCGGCTGCGACACGCACGCCCACAGCGGCGGCGGAGTGACGCAAGGCGGCGAGGAAGCATTCCTTGGCTTCCTCGAGGTCTGCCATCGCTCCAGTCCGTGAGTATCTGTCGCCTAGACGAATTCCGAGGTTGTTCAGCCATCCAGCCCGGTTCGGATGATCTGACGGGGTGGCATCGATGGCTTCTCGCCCTACTTTGATGGCTTCCTCGAGGTCTGCCATTGCGCCTGTGCGTGAGTATCTGTCGCCTAGACGGAGTCCAAGGTTGCCGAGGAAAATAATCCGGTTCGGATGGTCAAGAGGGGTGGCATCGATGGCTTCCCGCGCCAGGCGAATGGCTTCCTCGAGGTCTACCATTGCGCCTGTGCGTGAATATCTGTCGCCTAGACGGAGTCCAAGGTTGTCCAGGAAAATAACCCGGTCTGGATGGTCAAGAGAGGTGGCATCAACGGCTTCTTGTCCTACTCTAATAGCTTCCTCGAGATCTGCCATCGCTCCAGTGCGTGAGTATCTGTTGCCAAGACGAAGTCCAAGGCTGTTCAAGAGCATAGGCCGGTCCGGATGATCTAGTGGGGTAGCATCGATAGCTTCTCGTGCGGTGCTCCTCGGATGGCTTCCTCGAGGTCTGCCATCGCGCCTGTGCGTGAGGACCTGTCGCCTAGATGAGTTCCGAGGTTATTCAACCATCTAGCCCGGTCCGGATGATCTGACGGGGTGGCATCGATGATTTCTCTTCCTACTCGGATCGCTTCCTCTAGGTCTGCCATCGCTCCAGTCCGTGAGTATCTGTTGGCTAGATGGCCTTCAAGGTTATTCAGCCGCCCAGCCCGGTTCGGATGATCTGACGGGGTGGCATCGATGGCTTCCCGTGTCACGCAGCTGACCAGCCGACTAAACCAGCCAGTAACGGAAGAAACCAACAGGGAGAGCCAGAAAGCAGAGCCAGCAGAGAAGGAGAGAAAGGGTGAGAGGGAGCAACCCGAAAGCTGTGAGCAGACAAAGCAAATGAACAACCACGTGGGCAGCCAGATATGCGATGAGATGAGACTTCCAGTCACCCTAGAAGAAGAGTCGAAAATAGACTTCTTTCCGACTCTCTCTCTCTCCTCGCCCATCCACTTGGATTATGCAGTATCGGCACCTTCTTCCCAATTCATTCATCGCCATCAAATCGAACAAGCCGTCGTCAGAGCCATCGTCATCGTCATCGAATAGATTGATTGTCCGTCGCGTGTCGTCGTTATCTGTCGTCGTTATCTGTCGTCGTTATCTGTCGTCGTTATCTGTCGTCGTTAACTGTCGTCGTTATCTGTCGTCGTCTGCTGTCGTCGTCTGTCGTCGTGTCATCTGTCGTCGTCTGTCGTCGTGTCGTCTGTCGTCGTCTGTCGTCGTCGTTGGTCGTTGCTTGTCGTCCCCCCAATTCAGCGCTGCGTACTTGAAAGTGGGGAAATTGCGGCCCCTAAAATCTGGGGGCCGCTCCAGCTTTATGTCGCGCCAAACCCCTGTTCTTACCCCTGGACCCCAACCCCCTGCCGTCACCAAATCCACCAACACTCTAAATTTCCAGCAGCTCGGCAATCCCCCGGTCTCTACTGCTGGCTGCGCTTACCACGACCGGCCATTTTGTCGCCAATCATTCAATTCATACCCCATCATCATCATCGATGATTGGCGATGGAATTCGGCTATCGCATCTCATGTTCGCCTCTTCTTGTTACCAGAACACGGGATGTCAGTGGGGAAATTGCTGACTCCAGCTCTGGCTGCCGCCCGCATTTGATTCCGTTTCAACCCCACCCTTCCTGCCAACGGAAATCCCGGTCAGTTCAAGCCACCGCCCACTACGGTGTTTACGCCCCTGAAAATCCAACCTCACATAAGTAAACCCGTCACCCACCCAACCCTCCTCCAAACCAAACCTCTGCCTTTTCCGACCTGTACCAACGGCCTCAATCGACTGTCTCTTTCGTCCAAAATGGATCCTCCCGTTCTTTGTACAATCTGCGGTTCCCCCAATGCTCGCCGCTGTGCCGTTTGCCTTTCGGCCGCCTACTGCTCTCTAGAGTGTCAGCAAACCGACTGGCGAACCCATCGGCTTCTTTGCCGCAAGTTCGCGGCATGTGCTCAAGATAGCTTTGCCACTCGCCCTTCCCCCAAGCACTACCTCGCCATTCTCTTTCCCATGACGGAGAAGCGGCCGTCCCTTGTGTGGGTGGATTCCAAGAAGGACGAATACGAGGTTAGGGACTACTTCCACCCAGTTCTCAACCACCTCTTGCATATCCCCGGCAACGACTACATCGGCCGTGGCCTACGCCAAGTTAAGGGCAATGTCCTTCGTGGAAGGAACAACAACCAGGATACCCTACACATATGGTTCCTAGATCCAGACGTCACGCCCCGCAACATCATAACCAATCAAGCTATCCATGGTACATTCCCAACCCTGATTGGAGATACCTGGGGCGAGTTCATCTGGAAGGGTCCGATTGTTGCAGTGATGAGGGCTGGATCCGACTTTGAACCTCGCCGCTCCACCGACATCACCCTCACAGCCTACCGTGATGCCATCGACTACCTGGGTTACTACGTTGATACAGTTGGGAGCATGATCGACGAACCTGGTCGGCACTACCATCTTTCCAAGCGCGTGCTAGCCGACAGGACTTCCAAGGCTATTGGTGTCCGAATCAACTGTCGCCGTGACCAGGCCAATCGACATGAGCCACAGATGGTTGAGGTGGCCGTACCCAAGACACATCCTCTGTTTAACCTTGAGGGCGACGACCCATGTGACATCCCTTCACTTTTTGGCCTGGAATTGGTTGCAAAGGCATACGGCGGCACCCCTCGCAACGAGGATAACGACCCGCCGCCTGATGACCTGGAGAACCCTCTAGCCCAGCTCCTCCTGACGGCGACCTCTGTCAAGAACGGAGAATGGGTTCGTTTGCCAAGTTACCGGCGTCATCTGTGTCTTGGCAGCATCCTTTTCGTCCGCAGGTCTAAGCGAGATCTGAAGATAAAGGATATTAACGCACTCTGCAACCTGATCGAAGAATTTGCGGTGCCGTTTATGTTGAAGGAGGATGCATCCGACCCCAGTGCGAAGAAAAGGTTGTTAGACCAACTTGAACAGGAGGGTTCTAGACGTAGCATCGAATATTAGGCTTTACTTTACTCTGCATTGATGGGCAATCAATCAAGTAGACATCCCCAGGATAGAGGCCCCCGACGCTTGTAAGGTGGCATAAAACGCACGAAATAATCATCACTACTTGATAAACCCCTCCCCTCTGGTAATCAATAAATGCTATTTCCCACACAAGCCTATCTACCCTATATGTTAACTCAGCTAAGCTCTCCCGGCATGAGGCTGTTTGGGCCGCTTTTGTAGTATATTTGATCACTACCAAATGAATAAATTAATAACTTATAAAATTAACAAAAATTAATCATTATAATTTTTATACGTTACAGAATTTATCAATAAAAAGCCTGTAGAAATTTTGGTGGCGAAATATAAGCTGTAAATTGACTTGGTGCAAACTTGTAAAATTGGATAATTATCAACTTTACAACCTGTAAAATTGAACGAATAAACTATCCCCACTTTCCGGGCAACTCGCCACTGTGGCTTACCATGATGATTCTTCGGTATCGCTATTCTCCCAATCGCTGTCGTCATCCTCTTCTGATTGAGATCCACCTTCTATCGTATCGTCCGTCCCCTCTTCTTCGATGGCGACGCCAGAGACATCTGCAGGTTCAACATCCCACTGCGGAGGCTCGGCTTGATTCAAGAACTGTTCCAGGAGAGTTTGACTTTGAGTGGAGGGCTCTACTTCCTGTTTCTTGGCCTCTAGATGGCTGCGGAGATCATACTGACTGTTGTGATTGTTGAGCAGACGCCTCGTCCACAGCAGGCGTGCTGCGAACCCAAGCGAATGACCGGGTAGGGACGCTATAGCATCGAGCAAACCAATAAGGTTGTCCCGGGTTGGTAGAAGGATGGTCGGTTGGCTCACTGCAGATTCGAATATCTGCCTCGAGATGTGTGTTTCCATCACAGGAATCCGGAAAACGTCCTCCTCTTCGTACTCACAACCGTCCGATTTCTCAACAGACCACGGCTGTACAAAGTTCACATCCCCGTCTCGACCCCATGTCGGGCCCGCTAGATAGGTCACATACAACAACGCCCGCCGGCAATGGCGTTGAATGGTGTTATGGCTGGCGGAGTGCAGACGGTCGATATTGCCCATAATCTCCATCCAGTGTGGCCAGGCTGCCCTTTCAAGGCCCCAAAAATGGCGAGGTGATGGAATCACCGGAGTCATGTAAGGGGACAGACCCTCGGGGTAATCGCCGCGGCGATATACAGATGACAAGAATGTGTCTTCCTCTCCGCGAGGAGGCGAGAAATAGGGAGCCCAGTATTGCATCTGGAAGAAGGGTGGCTTGCTGTGATGCCAGGTGCCCCGGCCATGGCTTGTGTTTACCTCCTTGCTGTGGTCACCATTGAAGGCAATCAGGATGTAACGGCCGATTTGCACGCCGAAGCAATTATCAAATGGGCCCGCCGACACAAAGATAGTTTGCCAAATCTCCTTGAATACTCGGTAGACTTGGAGGAAGTAAAGTCCATCCCATGCCGGCGGCTTAGAGCGGCAGAACAGTTGTTTGAACAAAAAGTTAGACCAGCTGTTTTTAGGCGGCAGATGCTGACGCGTGGACATCCAACAAGGTAGCTCGTCGGGCATACTACCTCCTGTTGAGGAGTTGGTATCAGCTAGCACAGCTTCACTGTACTTTGCCCATGCCTCCGTGTAAATGCCATGAATCGTCTGGGCTGTGGGGATACGGCCAACCTCAGCTGCAGATTCCACTTGGGCGTGCTGCAGCCGAGCAAGGAGAGGTAAGTTTTGGCGCCCTAACTTACCTCGCACTCGGTCCCAGTATGACTCGATCTTGGCAAGGAAGTGCTGATGGTAAGCTCGGGCGGTCTCCTCGACGGCAAGGACGATAGCCCAGTCAGCTAGCTTCTCCGCATCCTCATTGCGCCCTTGATCGTACGCTTCCCGGGCGTCACGGACCAACTGTTGGAACAGAAGCTCGACGGTAACCTGAGTGGTAGTAAGAGCCTGGACGTTAGGCTGATGAGCCAGCCTCGCCTGGAGCGGGCTCCGAGACATATATAGATTAATCAGTACCTCGAGTGAGATATGACCCCGCTGCCAGTCGATGTGGCCGTGGGGGATCCAGAGCATCCCGGACGTATGAATAGGGGTACTCAGGCCGAGACCCCGCCGCTCCTTAAGAGAGCGTCCGCCAGAGCCACGAGTCGGCACCGTCCAGACCGACCGCCAAATCCAATTATCGAAATTCTGATCCTCCTCCTCATCGTCAAGTGAATAGACGAGGAGGCGACAGAAAAGCTGAGCAGTATAGAACGCAAGTATCTGCCGGACAGGGTCGGTTGAAGAGGATGGCTGCTCGCCTTCTTTCCTTGTTACCTCCTGGAAAATGTGGTCGAGTGGAAGGATCGAGCGAGCAGCTTGCGTAGACACAAAAGAGGTCATCACTTTGGTCGGAACAACCCAAAAGGGGTAGTGCAGCTCACCAGCTCCGGCATCGAGAGGGACGTCCCAGGACATCGGCCCGGTGTAAGGACTCCTCTCGGGCTCCAGTGCGCCGTCAGCCCACATAGCAAGGATAACATCGAGCCGAAATGTGACCTCTTTCCGGATTCCAAAGTTTGGGTGCCTGCGCAGAGATGAGATGGCCCTCAGATGCCGCTTGTTAGCATCCCAGGCATGCAAAAGATGGGAGCGGTTGAGCTGGGGTACAAAGGCGCGTTGGCGATTTTGGTCCATACCCGCAAGGTCCTTCAACATGCCTTCGTCAAAGGCAAGGAGAGGGAGGTGGCCTGAGCTGAAGAGCTGGTAATTGCTGAACATGACCCCGAAGAGGTCCTTGCTGCAGTTGTACGCCTTGGCACGGATGATGCCGGGCGACCTAACATCCGGGTGGCCTGGGTTGGGGACCAGTGTGTCCAACAACCAAGGTAAGGTAAGGATTTTATTTCGCCCGGGGGGACACACCCCAGAGGGCCTTTGCGCTAAGCTATTTTCGTTTCGTACAGTTCTTCCATAATCACCCGAAGCCCCAAAATTTCACTTTTACTAACTGGTCCAATCTGGTGTATATGCCGTGACAGGCCTGCTTGAAGGCCAATTTCCCCAAGTGTTCAGCATCCTATCCTCAGCAGCTGAAGCCCGGTCTGTCAAAATGAGACTGTATGATGTTAGTAGGATTCAATCTGAATAGTTAGTGTGCCTGAGGCTTCTGGTCCATGTCAAGCCTCCCCGTTGCAATGGCAAATTTGATCGTCGCCCGTACTGCCCGCATGTCTGGTGCCCATTTGTCATCGTCAGACGCTGCCTTTCCTCCCAAGAAGAACGAGAGGTTTCCCATCTTTGCTTGTGGGCATTTCAGCATGCCTTCCCGTTGCTTTGTCCACTTTGTGCATCTGAATAGAAAATGTTTAACTGTCTCGGATGCTTGACCACATTCGCACATATCCGATTCTACTGCGCCGATGTTGTGCAGAAAGCTGTTTAGTCTTGCCATTCCGGTGCGGAGCTGGATCAGCACATCTGCTTCTTTCCTCTTCAGCAGGTCATATATAGTACGGGTATGCTTGCCAGGGAGTGCCATGTCTATCGTCGTCGAGTATTTCCCAGCTCTTCCTGGCGGCATTCTTGTTTGCTGCTGCTTGGTTATGACTAGTCTTATCCTCGTGGATCTTGCTTGATACAGTGGTATATCTGGTCTGCAGTCTCTTTCAGTGGCCCGCCGGGCTGCTGCTTTGGCTTTTGGTCCTAGTGCGAAGTCTTCTTCGCCTGCTGGAACCCACATCATCTGGAGAGAGTTGCCCTCGTCTTCAAGGCGCCCGACATGGTCGTAGATTTGCCGAATGGCCTGTTGGCCGGATTGTTGACGCGGCCGCCGTATGGCTTCTAGTGCGGAACGGTTGCTCGTCACGACGGTTATAGTCCGTCGACGCAGTCCGAGTGGCATGCATCTCAGCGCCATCTCTATAGCTCCCAGCTCGGCTATGTATAGGTTCAGCTCCTCCGTCGACCCAAGAGTGATGGAGTAGCTGGCCACTAGTTCGTCGGCATTGTTGAGGGCCGTATCTCGTACGACACCTCCCATGCCTACCATGCCCTCTCTCTGCGAGGAGCAGGTGGCAATGACTATGCCATCCACCCTCTTTGCTTCTTCCACCGCTCTCTCCCGGTCACGGTCGCACGACACCGGGATACGGTCTCTCCATGGCGGTAACGCGTACTCCCGAATGATCTCTATTCGTTCAGTGGCTGTTTCCCCTTGTACTTGAGCAATCCTCTGCATCGGCGACACGAATCGGCGACACACTTTCATCACCTTCAGTGTCGCCAACGGGTGTGTCCTGGGAAGGGTCCGGAGGTTGATCCAGAACCTTGTTGCTGCTTGCGCATGCCGTTCTTGCACCGGTTGGATGCTAGCTTCGGCCTCTGCCACCGCCGTTGCGACGGTCCGGAAAGCTCCCGTGATCGCCTGTGCTCCGATCATCTGTGCCTTGTCCAGCCAAGCAGCTTCTCTAATGCCACATGAGTGCGCCCACACGCTGGACGCATAGTCCATGGTGGGAGCTACTGTTGCTACGAACAGTTGTCTCGCCGTCCGCGGTGACAGCATCTTCAGTCTTCTCAGACACATAGCAGCCGAGAGCCCCTTTGCAGCGGCTCTAGCTATGTGTTCCTTGTACCGCAGTTTCGCGTCCACGACCACTCCCAGGATCTTGGCGCTCGCCTTGGGCTTGACTACTTTTCCTTTGATCATGAACGGTTTGTCGCTGGTACGCGCGGCGTTTCGAGTGAAATGCACGATGGCCGTTTTGTCTCCGTTGAACGTCGCACCGCTCCGTCTTTCCCAGCCCAGTGCTTCGTCTATAATTGATTGGATGCCGGCTCGATTCTCCTCCGCTGTTGATCCCACCACCCAGGCTGAGTAGTCGTCCACGAATGCCATCGAACCACCTTTTGCGTTGATTCTTCTCTGCACCAAATCTGCATTGAAGAACAGGAACAACACCGGCGACAGCGGTGATCCTTGCGGGAGACCTGCCTGTGGCAGCTCCCGTAGCTGCGACGTGTGTCCATTTACCACCACGGTGGCCATTCGTCCAGAGCAGAAGGCGTCAATCCATCTCACCAGTCCATCAGGTATGCCTCTCGCCTTCAGCCTCTCCAGGAGTCGTTCTTTGAACACTCCGTTGTAAGCGCCTTTGACGTCGAAACTGATCAGACTGAGCACCCTGCCGGCCCTCCATGCCTTATAGATCTGCTCCTGCAGCAGAACCAGTGCTTGTTCGGCTGACCTTCGCTTCCTTGCCCCGAAGTGGTTTGCGGGCAGCAATCCATAGCTTTCCACTACATAGGATATCCGCTCTGCAACGACTGCCTCGAGTATCTTGCCCAGTGTCGACAGCAGCGATATCGGTCTCCATGCTTTGGCCACTGTGTAGTCTCCCTTGTCTGCTTTCTTTAGCGGGATGATCTTCGCACTCCTCCACTGGTGGGGTACCGCACCATCCTTGAGGGATGTGTCGAAGAGGTGCAAGACTCGGTATCTAACCACTGGCCAAAGCTGTTTCCACACCATTGCTGGCAGACCATCCTCTCCAGGCGCTTTCCAAGGTTTCGCTGCTAGCACTTTTTGTTCAACTTCCTCCATGGTGAGGTCTGGCATGTGCACTTCCGTCCGTTGCGGTCGGTCGCCTTCATCTTCAATCCTGGCCGGCAACGGCGGGAAGAACGTGCTGAGCAGCTCCTCTGCCTGCTCCACCCTATCTACCGTGGTGGAGCCGTCTTGTCTCTTCAAAGGGGGCACTCTGTCGTCCATAGCGCATATTCCGGGTTTCAAGTACGTAGCCGCCTTCCATATGTTGACATCTTCTGCCAGGAATTCGTCCCAGTGCAGTTTCTTCTGTTTCCGAATGGCATCATGGTACTCCTTGGATGCTTCCTTGGCCCGTCCTTCCAGGTCGGGCCTCACCTGGCCTGCTCGCCGCTGTGCCCTAGCCTGATTCCGCCATAACGTGTACACCCGCCGAAGTCTTGTCAAATCCTTCGTCCACCAACACTTCGCGTACGGTACTGGTTGTGCACGGGGCGTCAGCTCGTGGATCGCTTCGAGGATGACCCTCATTAACTGGTCTGTCTGTTCCTGCACGCCGACAGTCCAGGGGAGCTCTTGGAGATTGTCCTCCACCTTGGTTCTGATTGCTGTCCATGGTGCATTCTTGAACAACAGTCTTTCCGTGACAATCCGATCAGGCATCGCGAGATCGAACGTCGTTTGGATCGCCCGGTGGTCCGATCCGTGTTCTGTCGGGTGTATGGAGCACGTCACCATTCCGTCTGCCACCTCCGCCGTCGCCAGCATCAGGTCGATTGTGCTTTCCTTGTCGGGGCCTTGCCATGTCTTTGTGCCTCTCGGGAGCAGGCTGCAAAGACCGTGTTCGTTCATGAGGTCGATGATCGGTTCGGCCTCGCCTTGCCTTGCTAAGGCCACATCGTCTCCTCCCCAAAGCCGGTCGTGTTGATTAAAATCTCCGGCCAGTATGACGTCCACCGCCATCCCTGTCCTGCTCCTGAGGTCGAGGATCACCCGGTGCAGGGTATGGCATGTATTTCGAAGAGCCTGGGGCTTGCGTCCCGGCACATACACTGACACAACTAACATTATTCGGTCCGGGAGTCGTATGGCTGCTGCTGTCAAGTCCGGGGACTGTATTGGTACTTGGTTGGCCTCCAAGTCCCTATTCACCCACAACATGCTCCGGATCGGCCATCTGCCATCTCTCCAAATCGTAGGGACCATTTTAATCCATCTGGGATGCCCCATAGGGACTGTTAATAGTTTGCCGTCACTTTTCCATGCCTGTGGTTCTTGGACCGCCACAACTGCAAAATCTTGGAGTCGCGTATCGTTCATTAGGCTCTCGTGTACCGTGTCCTGTTTTCTTACATTAAGTTGAATTACCTGGAATATCCTACTCATGCCGAGTAGGGTAGAGTTTCGGGCAGCTTCGACTGAACGACTCGTGCGGTCCACCACAGGGTACGCACTTGGGTACCTGCGTCTGGCACTCACGATGATGGTGGCCTTCGGCAGCGCACCTCGCACATACCCGATTCTTGCTGCACGAGAAGGCCTT